AAAGGATCAGTTTGAGGCCAGTCTGGGCAAAAAGTTTAGGGAGACTCCATCTCAACCAATAATCTGGGCATGGTGATGTCTGTCTATAATTCTGCTACATGGGGGGCATAAGTAGGAGCATCACAGTCCAAGGATAATCCAGGGTTAAAAAATGTGAGACCCTATCCAAAAAATAACTAAAGCAAGAAAGTGCCAAGGCTGTGGCTCAAGTGAGTTCAAACCCCAGTACTGAGGGAAAAAAAAAAAGTTTCAGGAAGATCTGGGCTGGTCTCTATGGAGCCTGTGGACAAGTGTCACAGACTGTTCAATAGGAGGGCTCCCAAGAATCCCACGGGCCTCAGAGGAAGCCAGCAGAGACAGGCTTACCTGCAAGACAATTTGGAGTGCAGTTTTTGTTCACTACCCTAACAAGATTCATAGCCTACAAAGATTCTAAAGAATTTTATTGGCAGAAATATTGCTATGTGGAACTAGAAGGGTCAGAGGTAGTAAAAAAACAAAAAGCAGCAGGAACTGCACTAAGAAAACAACTCCACTGAAAACTCATGCTGCCTTTCACAGAAAAGATGACTCACTGAGTGGAATCAGGAGTGCCTAAGAAGCACCCTGCTTTGAGGGTGTTTTCAAGGGAGTGTCAACATGTGCCCTACTAGACTGCAGGACTGCTGTGGGTCAAATGTGTATTCCTGTTCTTTTGAATGGGCATGTCTAGAATGGTTACCCTACACCTAATCTATTATATACTGGGTTTGTGGAGGGGAACAGACAACCTCTCTAGTCTTCATATCTCCAGACTGAGAGGAACCACACGCGAGGAGCTGAGCCCAGAATCTCATCCTGATTTAGATGAAGACCCTGGACTACAAACTGCTCCTGTCCTGGGGTGAGGCTCCTGTGGACTTTGGCAGAGAGGGAGGGCATTTTGCACAAGGAAGGAATGTGAACACGGGGGTGGGGGTGGGGGGGCAGGGTAAATTATGACAGCCAAATGGCTCCAAATAATCCCTGCTTCCTTGTATTCATGTCCATGGTGCTCCTCAATGGACTGGGCTAATCTATGTGACCATAAATAAGATACTATGGAAATGACTTCTGAAGCTGAGTTCAAAACTTCCTCTCTTGGATTTACTCCTTGCGGGGAAAACCTGCTGTCAAGCTTGTCATGAAAATACTCAAGCAGCTCTCCAGAGAGGCGGGTGTGGAGAAGAGCCAATGCCTCTTGCTAACAGTCAGCCCCTTCCTGCAAATCATCTGACTGAGGCACTCTGGAGGAGGATCCTACAAGCCCCAGTAAAGTCTCCAGGTGACCTTGGCGTAGGCTGACATGTAACTGCGATACTGCAACATCTAAGAGACCCAAATATACAGCTGCCCCTTCTGAAGTCCTTACCTAAAGTAACCATACTATGACAAATTTGGAGGATACAGAGATGAACAGCAAATACACTGGGTTAAGTGACAGGGCAAAAATTTGAACCCAGTTCTGTCTGATTTGGAAGTCTGCTCCCAACCTCTACTCTGTAACAGTCTTATCAACACCTGACCTGGGCAGTGGATAAATGAGAGTGGCAGGGAGAAGAGAAGCTTTGGGGTCCTACTGAAGCCACATGGGAATGCTATAAGGTTTGCTTTTCAAGGCGTGAGCCCCAAGAGTTATGTGCAGTGCCCAGTTGCATCAGCATTTCCACATCTTTTGCCCCAGCTCCAGCTGCTTCCGTGGGCAGTTTCTCCACCTGGCAAAGGCTCACTAGTCCACTGTTGGCTCAGATGAAATTTTCTTAATTTTGATGTCCTCTTTGACAGATTTCCTATACTTCTACCTGACTTCCTTCCCAGGAGAGAAAAGGTTAATCTTTTTATCTTCTCTGCATGTCAGTTACCATGTCAGTAGCTATTTTAAATTATAGCCATGAATATTACTTAGTTTGTGCTCTGTGCTGGAATATAAACTCTCATAGGCAGAAGCCTCGTGTTCTTAATCTCTGCCTCTTGCTTCCTGAACCTGAGGTGTTAACTGGACTACCTCATCCTTCCTGGTGCAGGAGAGTGAGGAAAGGTCCCTCACTCTCATCCTTGCTATTCCAGGCAAGTGTGGAGCTCCCAAGGCCTTACCTGGCAGAGAGCGGATGAATTCATAGACATCCTCTACATTCCATTTGGTGGGCTCACTTGGTAGGAAGTGGTGTCCCATGCCCACCAGGTCCCGCATGTGCATGTCAGGGAGCTCCAGGTCCCTCTGGCCCTGTCGCCGGCGGGAAGTGGATGAGCTGGCTGAGATGGGTGACAAGGGTTCCTCATAGCTGGAGTTATCTGAGCAACGGCTGGAGTCTTCCTGGCTATGTGTCAGCTGCAAAGCAGCAGTAACTGAAAGGGGTACAGTGCCTGTTGACTGGGAGCAGAGAGAAACAACTTTCCTCAGAACAGGGGCATTGGCGGGCGGGGGGAGGCAGGTGTTTCTCACCTTTCTGCTTAGTCCACCACTATAGCATGGAGTACTTAGTAAACAGCATCTTCTGTGTGGTCTGCTCTCTGACCTTAACAGTGCTGCCCCATGATCTGAATTTTTATGTCTACATTTTCATTTCTTTTTTCTTCTTATTTGAACTCAGGGCCTTGTGCTTGCTAGGCAGGTGCTCTACCACTTGAGCTGCAGCACCAGCCCCTATCTTTTCTCTGAGACATGTTTCAACCAGGGCTCCATGGGTTTTAGGAGGTCTATGAGCCCCATGAAACAGCACATGAAACTTCTGTGTGTGTTCACTTTGGACCACAGCTTTCACCACATTCTGAAAGAGGTTCAAAACAAAAGTGATAACCACAGCCATAAGCAAAATACACACAAGGTTAAGGAATGCTACACAAGGCTGTGAGTTCAGAGTTCCTGGCATGGAGTCAGTGCCAAAAAATATTTAATGGATGAATGCCCAGGTTCCTAGCAGGGACTTTCAAAAGCTCAGTTATCCACTGTTCGAGGGCGCAAAAAGGTAGCAGGGTGAAGGGTGGAAGCTGCCATCTTACCTACCCTTTCACGTGAGACAGGAGGTAACCTGAACAGACTTCATAGGGCCAACAGGAGACCACCCCCATCCCCCTGGCCTCAGAGGTAAGGACAGAGGTCAACTGCAAGGTAGGGGAGGTGGTGGGGCAAGGCTGTTGGAGAGGGTAAGGTACTTTGTAAGTACCCTTGAGTCTAAATGAAGGGACCTACTAAGGGGCATAGGCAAGGCTCCATATGTCAGACTTGTGAGAAGTTAGTACAGCACGAAACATGCCGAGTGAGCTGCTAGAAGGGAATATGAGTGTCCATGTCCAGGGTCGTGTCAGAAGGGAGGCTGGTGGACACTTGTAGAAATGAAGCTCTCCTGGCCCTCACCTGCTTCTTGGTATCCTTGGTAAGTGTCGGCAGACTAGCCTTGCTGGCCCGACGGCGGTTGTGGGTTGTGGTGCCTGTCTTCTGCAGCTTGCTCCGGTCCGAGTGGAAAAGTCCCACCCGTTTGGTGCATCCCACATTATACCTGTAAGAGCCAGGAAGAGTGGGGTCAGAACAATTGTAAGGCTCAAGCGTGGTAGGCAGAACAAGACTAGTTAAGCTGTCTGGCAAAATTTGAGTCTATCCATTGGTTCAAATCCTGACTTCATCACTGTTGGTTGCTGGCTGGCAACTCTGGGCAGTTATTAAGCTGAACCTTAGTGGGAGATGGGGGTGGTAACACTTGCCTTCAAAAACTGGTCTCATGATGACATGAGGTAATGTCAATGACATACATGGAGCACAGCTATAAATAAATACTATCTGTACCAGAAAATGAATCATCTTGTTGAAGAGTGGCCTGGCAAAACTGGACTAATGGGCCCTGACTACCTCCAGCACAGCCTGGGAGGACTGAGGGCAGGAATTCTAAGCAGACATGTGGAACACCTCTGCCCGAGACCTAGAGATTTCTTCTCTTTTGGGGGCTGTGGGCTTCAAGGTCAGCTGCTTTTTCCACCTTGGTACAAAAAGTACATAGGGGTTAGCAGAGTGGCTCAAGTGGTAAGAGCGCCTGCCTTAGCAAGCATGAGGCCGGGTTCAAACCCCAGTTGCTGCCAAAAAGAAAAGAAAAAAAACTACATAGAACTTTAGAACAAGTCTAAATTGTAAGTTTGTATCATTAGCTGTGCGTCACTTTAGGCATGACTATTCCTTTGTGCTGTAGTTTTACAACCTGTATAAAGCAGACAATAGTAAGAACGATGGGAACAATAGTAATAGCTGCCTTTCCAGAGTTATTTAGAACTCTTACCAATGGACTAACCCATCAATTGACTAGCACAGTGTCTAGTATGTATCAGGCTCTTACAACAGGGGTTTTTCAAATTATGATCACCATTTTTCTGAGCTGGGTGAAAGTTTCCCTCAGGGACACTGTAACTGGTCCTAGGATTCTGGGCAAAGCTTCCAGTGGGGGCTTATCCTATGGAGGTGGCAGCTGCCCATGGCACGCAAAGAATGGATGCCAGGGGGACCCAGGAGGCTGCCTAGCTAGAGGGCTGCTTCCTTCCTCTTGCTGCTCCCTCTGATCCCCTCCTAGGGGTCCTGGTTTCTCAGCTTTCCAAGTGCACTAAGGATGCAAAGGCTGCATCCAACCAGGTAAAGGAAATAGGAAGCTGGATAAGCCATACCTACGGTCTCCTAGATGGATGATTATTGGAGGGAGATGGACATAAAAGCAGGTGCAATCCCTGAGGAAAGGGAAAAGACTGGGCATGGCATTAGGGTTGAGGCCACTTACCTTTTTGCACAAGCCATGGAACAGAAGCGCTTGGAACGCTTGAACTTGTATGCAAAGTCCATCCGGCCACAGAGCTCACATTTGAGTTTGAGGGGAGTACCCTCCTCTTTGGATTCTGAAAAATATGGAAATGGGTTATGTGTGGAGAAGGAGAAATTCCTGCATGCCTGTGAACAGCCTCACTATAGGGCCTCCATAATCTGTCCTGTCTCTTCCTTATTTCCCCATGGGTGTGATATGCAGAGGCATCCATTAGGAACACATGAAAGTGTTTTTGCTACTGATTTTAGAAGGGCTGTGCCTCCTGGCAGGAAAGATCCCAAGAGTATCTAGTGTTGATCCCCCTTGTAAACTTGGCAGTTGTTTTCTTCCAAGTGCTAAGATTCCAAGGTACAACACAGGTGAAACAGAATCAGTATCCTTCACGACATTAAGGGAAGCAGAAGACTTACACTTGTCAAGTGCTGTCCTTATCTGGCTACTGCTGTGCCTTAGCACAGACTCCTGAGGCAGCAAAAGGGAAAGCCTGCCTGGTGCCACCCCACACTAGCTCCTAAAACATGCCAATGGGTCCCAAAGGAAGCACAACTCTTGAAACCCTGTGGATGGCTGGAGGGAGCAGGGCTAGAGAAGCAGCCCTGGAATAGGGTTCCCTATTCTCCAGAGACAAAGGGACTGGGGGAAAATGCTTGGTGGACAGGAATGTTTGTCACTCCTTCACAGACATTGAGAAAGGGGAGTGTGAGGCCTGTCTTCCCACAAAACCGGAAGGCCTCAGACCCATGGCTGAGGTGCCTACCTTGCAGGTAGGGTTCCTCCATCTCTGAGTCAGTGGTGGTGGTATGGTCCTGCTGTGGAAGCTTCTCAGCCAAGAACCCCTGTGCATACTTCTTCTTGAGATTCCCCACCAGCAGGGACGAGCGTCCCACCTAGAGGACAGGTGACATGGAGGCCACAAGAGTTAAGTCCAAGTGCTCCCCTCCATGGAATCTCGTCACAATTACAGGTATTAAGCAGCCAGGCAGATACAAGATCCCACCTCAAGCCTCCCCCATGTTATCCTTCAAGGTTCCCTTGTTCAAGGCCCTATCCTTCTGCCTAACTCAGGCAAAAAGCAGTAGGCACCAAAGTATGGGGTTACTGTAGTCCAGGACTAGTGGATGGCAGAGAGGTCAGGAGAGTATCTATTCTTCTAGGTGTCTTCTGTTCTTTTTGAGATAGAGGCAAAGATCAGGTTTCTCACAGTGCCAGATCAAGTGAAAAGGCCTGTGCTCACATGGCACCAGGTAGGGGCAGGGCTGAGTCTGTGTGTGAGGGTGTCCTTTATGAAAGAGACTCAGCACCCCTTTTTTGACTTCTTACTGTTCTCCACCTTACCACTGCTCTACACAAGCCAGAGGTATAGGCAGCCACAGGGGAAAGCAGGAAAAAAGTGACTTTGGGTCACAGAGTACATGCCCTGTGGTTGCCTAGACTGGCTTATTCATCCCTTTGGTCCTCCCTTTGTTCAGGCAGCCTGGTGGCAAGATTGCAGGGTGTCTAACCCTAGGGCAAAGCTGGCATGGTACAGTGTCTGTATCTACCCTGTGAAACCAGTTGGTTCCCAGTGTTTCTCCAGTAGGCAAGAGGAGGATCCCAGGGTAGTGAGAGAAGGGATGTAACAGAGCTAACTACTTATAGCTAAGGTGTTCCTGGTGGATTTCTTTACCACTGCTCTTGGTCAATCTCCAGAGGGAAAGAGGACAAGAACCTGTTTATCCTTTAGCATTTTAGAAGGAAGTTCACTCTTCTTAAGTCAATCAAGCTCAGAGTCTTCTGCTAACTGAATCAAACCACCAATGGATCCAAACGAGGCAGATGGCATCCCGGGAAGATGGGTATATTCAGCTAATCCTCTAAGAGGCTATCATGCACCTGGTTCTAGGACCTGGATTCCTACAAATCACCGCACCTGCCCCCGCATCACATTGCACAGTACAGTTCTGGGTGCTGGCTCTAATAAAGTTTCTTTGTGACCTTTTGCATTTCCCTTTGGTCTAATGCTTTCATTGGAGACCTCTGATTGTGCCCTTTCTGAAGGCCCCTCAATCTCATTCATGCTCCTCTTTCAAGGTTCTGTCCCCAGAAAACAAGATTCAGGCTGCAACCCTGCTTCCCCATCTTTATTTTCAATACATCTTAAGAATTCTGTGCTAAGCAGGTTCCTCTTGTTCCCAAATCTGTTGAAGTTTTGCTATTCAGAGGTTTTGGCATGGAAAGCTTGGTGAAGTCTAATTTTCCAAAGTCCACCATCTCTCATCAAACACTCCAAAGTGAACTAACTCCAAGGGGTCACAGGTCACCAGGCAGAGACACAGCTGAGTCTGTGTTGGAAACTACTTAACCAAGGGGTCCTGCCAATTATTCCTGATCACTGAGCCCTTCTGGGACCTTGGAGAGATATCAATCCTAGAAAGAAATGGTGCCAACGTTCTTATGGGAGAATTAGCAAGGAAAGAGCAAATTGTTCACATTTTCAGAAAATTTACATGGAAATGTAAAAATACTCTAATACACATCCAAAATATACTTAAAAAAAAAAAAAAAGAGGGGAAAAGAAGTAGTCCGTACCGGGAAAGGCTCCGCCCCCTCCTGGATCACAAACCCTTCGATAACATGCGTCAGGATTTGGGGTTTCACAATGGCCTGTGGTGGTTTATTCTCACCATTCTGGGGGGCAGTGCCGGCGATGCTGGAGGCAGAGTTTCCGTTCCCTGAGGTCATGCCGGGGCTGCTGAGGTCGGTCAGTGCATGAACAATGCCCTGCCCTGTCTCTGCACAAGGGAGAGTAGGAAACAAAGCAGTGGAGATCAGAACAGAGGTCTGGAAGAGGGACAGCAAGGACTCAAAGTGTGCCTGGATTCTTCTGCTCCACCAAACCACAATGCAAACCAAGCAGTCCCCTTCTTCAATGACCAACTTAGAAGTGGTACAGTTTCAATGGACACACCAGAAAGTGTGCGTATAATCAGTTCTGCAATAATCAGCTAGCAGAGTTTCTTGATTTTCCAACTGTGCTAAGACAGTTTAACCAGGTTAAACAGACAAGAATCCTAGCTTTGAGAAGGCAAGACCTCAGGCAATACTGAGTTGGACAAATGAAGCAACATTCAGCTCAGGGAGAAAATTTAGTATTCAAGATGACATCTAAAACCAGGAAAAGAAGCTGAACTACTTATAGGGCTTAAGGTGTGATGGAGTTTGGCAGACAGAGGTTAAATGAACCTTTTATGAATTTCCTTGGAGGACTGGGTTTTAAAAACCCTGTGAAATATCAAAGCACTGAACCACAGAAATTGATGCCAAGGGAATTTGGGGGTTGAACTACCAGAAGATAACCATCCTGTGGATCTGGACTATTCAGACTGGTCATTTGGGGTCACTGTATTAAGATACGCTCTTACTCACTTTGTCTACCATGGAAGCTGCAGGCAGAGCCGGGATTTTCTATGCTGCCTCACTGTGCTCTCAATCAAGCCTCTTGCTCAGTGCATAGCTCGGCACCCAAACCAATCCTCAGCAAATCACAGACCTCCCTTCATCTCTTTGTGGACAACCTCCGTCAGTCCTTTTCCATGGGCCTGCTAGCTTTCTCACAGAAGACCCAGCAGTACTCCAGAAAGTGTGATGAGGGGCCTTCCACAACCTACCACTGCAGACCTCCTCTCCTCCCCACCCAACAGCATCTCACTTGAAATGCTCACTGCCTCAGACGTGCAAGGCTTCATCACCTCTTTTCTTTAACTCCCCACCCAGGCTGTTCTCTACCACCAAGTGCCCAGTGACCTGAGACGCTTTAACCTGGAACTTCCTAAAAGAAGAAAGAGAGGAAAGCTAATTTTTTTTTCCCTTTAAATTGCAACAAGCCTATCAATTTTAAGCACAACCCAATGGTGTATGACACATAGTTTCAAAATAACTTCAGCACATTTGTTAAGTAATTTTTGTACAAAACTTTATATGAAAATGATCTTATGTCATATCAATGATTCAAAATACCACCAAAGCAATTCATAGGCCTAATTATACAGCATAAGGAAATAGACATACTTTAGGGAAGGTTTATAACTGAATCACAGTAGGTCTTTGCCCCTCCAACTCATTTTCTTGCTAGTAGTGGCTCAAAACTGGGACAAATCTTTTTTAATGAAAAAGCACTGGCTATAACATGTGTCTTTAGTACTCATTCCTCCGGAAAATTCAACCATGTTTAAAAAAAACTCCAGAGCTGAGCAGGAGTCATCCAGGAGATGTTACTGAAGAGGGTTTTTAAAAATTAAATTTTGCTTGACACAAAGTCACACTAGCAAGTTGGAAAAATTCCCTTAAGTGTCTATATTCATTAAAAAAAATTTAAAATAATTTTGGATTTTCTGTACAGATGGGGAAATTCCCCCTTTTGGAATTGTCTTCCTAAATTGTAAAGGTTATCTGGGAACTGAAAAAACAAACAACTTTACAGCATATGAATAGATAAGAGGGCTGACTTAATAATAACTATGTTTCTTTACTTTTAAACTGTAAACATTTAAGTCTGCATTTACATGATGTTTTCCTCTTTTTTCTAATATTTTAAATATGTAAGGAGACAAATGTGTTTTGTTTAAAATGATGCATAAACATTATTAGAATACAAAGCTCACTACTAAACCTTAAACTTTATGTTTTAGATGATAGCCATTTCCTAATTTGCACCTAGAAAAAGTCCCTGAGAAAGCCACTGATTGGAGCCTTCTTCATTCCCTTACCAATGCTTGAACATTCTCTAGAGTGCTCCCACCCAGTATTTTTCTAGCATTCCTTTGATTGCCTCCAGTAAAAAGGAACTTACTGTCTCTGAAGTAGTTTGTTGCTACTATGGGTAGTACAGTTAGAAAGTTCTTCCAAATCTGTCTTCTGAATCTGTTTATTTCTGACCCTTAATTATGGTTCTGTTCCTTAAGTCCAAAGACAATGAGGTAAAGTGAGTATGTATGCTAAGCAAAAACATAGGCTTTGGCATGGCTTAGAGACTGGTCTCTATCACCGAATGAATTACAGCAAACCGTGGTCCCTCCCCAAGCTTGTTTCACAGACTGTAAATTAAGGATGTTAATACCTACCTTACTGTATTACTATGAATAGCAACACAGTACTAGATCACCAGGAAATGCTCAAGAAATGCTCCTGGGGTCAGGAAGAGTATGTTATATAGTAAATTAGTATAGTATAATATACTGTAATATATAGTATATTTTCTCTCCTCCAGGCCAATCCCCTCTGCTCTTTCAACCACTCCTTATGTACAAAGGTTACAATTTCAATGTCACCCTAGGTTTTCTTTGCTTGCATTTTTAAATGTCAAGTGCCCAATTAATAGTGAGCATACTATATGAAGTATAATCATCTGAGAGATCTTGCTGGTAAAATTTCCATTTTATTATTTACTTATTTATTTTGAAGCAGGATCTCCGAAGTTGACCAGGTTGGCCTTGAATTTAAGATCTCTAGTAATAGGGATTATAGGTTTGTGCCATCACCCCCCAGCTTTTTTGTCTTAGTCATACAGGTACAGGGAAATGAATGACTCCCTTGGTTTGGTTGATAATGCCTCTGGTATTAATGATGGAATTAAAATGGAATTAATCCACTCTCCTTTAAACTCTGGGCTCACTCTTGCCTTTCACTGGTACTTATCACTAAACAGCTCCTGTTACCTGTCCCTTTTGTGTGATCTCGCTCTCCTTGCTCATGTGCAATGCTCCCTGCCCCATCCTTTTCCTACCCCTCTCTCAGACTTGTGCATACTAATACATCCTGAATGACAGGGAGCTAAGTCTTGAGGTTGGATTCTTTCATTATGCCAAATACAGGTTCAAGGTTACAAACCTAATGCTTCCTCTAAGAAGCAAAGACTTTTAGGAATCTGAGTTAAAAAAAAAAAAAAACCACCTTATTGAGAAAGGAAAACTAATAAACCCTTCCGGCTCTAACATTAGAAGCTCTCCCTCTCCATTATAACCCTGGGGTAGGTCCAAGGGGCAGAAAGGACTGCTGTTGAGTGAACAATGAAGGCTCGCAGCTGTTTGCTTTGCAGTCATCTTGAAGGCCAATAGCTCATCATCTGCTTTAGTAACAAAGAGTGAGGGCTATTTCTGGAATGACCAAACACTGTCTCACCCCCTGCCATGCTCAGCACACTGAGATTAATTTAATCTGCTTCCCACTCTCCCAGACTGCTTTTCTGCCTGCTTGGGGGAAAGCAGCTTAACAGTGAAACTTGCAGAAACCTGCCCTGCTGGCCCTGAGGCCAGAGAAAAGAGACAAAGAAATACTCTTTCTTTGGAATTTGGTTCCTTATTTAATTCTCTAGATCAATTTCCAAGGCTGAAAGTGCTGGGGGATTCCCACAGGTCTCAAATACTGTCATGTAGTTAGGTACCTGAACTGAACAGTGGGGGCAGGGCACCCTGAGTTGCAGGGGCCGAGAAGGGAAGTAAGCCAGGTCCCAGTGGGGAGAGGTGAGGTAAAAACTTGTCTTTATTGAAACTGACCACAAAGGGCCAAGTATTTGGAAGAGCATGAACAAAACAGTATGTGTTGGGTCTTACAAAAATACATACTCAACCTTTAGGTTGCTTCCCAATTCTGACCTCATTCACAGGCCCTAGCAGAAATAGTCCATATGCAGGAACAAAATAGGAAGGACCACCCAGTGGCTCTTCTCTATGCTCCTGCTGGGAAATTATGTGCTTTGAGACTGGTCACCTCTGTTAAGCATAGCAGGGGCTGAGTCATCTCTGTGCCTTCAATGTCCAAGGTATAATAATGCCTGACCCCTGTTAAACCAGAACACAAGGACCCAATGGTCTCAAGTTCCATCATCAATATAGAGCAGAAGTCTCCCAACTGACCAGGTACTAGCGAGACTTACAAACTGCTTCTGAGGTATGATGATTTGAGAAAGGCTTGCCACAGGAATGGCAATTCTGGTACCTGGCTATAAAAGTAGCTATTCTTCCTGTCACAATGAGGGTTTCCTTAGCAGAGGGGAGGTAGAGCATTAAGTCCGCCCTGAAGGCTGGAGTTCAGCTCCAGCATTCAGAACTCCAGATCCCTTGTGCGCTTTGAAACATTTATACCAGATCCAGGAACTTGGCAAGACAGGATGACCTCTAGAGGCAGAAGCAGGGAGGTGCCTAGAAAAAATGGCTTTGTTTGTCCTCAGGACCCTTGGTAGGCCTCCAGAGAGGCTGAGCTCTCTAGCCAGTTGAAGACAGAGGTCAAGCTGTCCAGCCATGCAAAATCTGGCCACTATGCAACCAGTTCTGACCATATCCTTCAATATGCACAGATAAGACACAAATCATCTTTTATATGGGACTGTAGTTTAGTGCTACATTTGCAAGGGGCATCTCAAATGTCTAGCGCTCCTTAGTCTGATAAGCCTGGGAGACCTGACTTCAGAGGGAACAGAGGTGCAGAGCTTCTCTTTCCACCCCTGCAGTCAGGTTAATGGCAGTTTTCCACTTTCTCTAGATATGAGAAGGGTGTGTTTTAATCTAAGACTTCTAACTACCCCTACTGGCTGCAGTTGGAGTAAAACAGAGCTAATGAAGTTAAAGAATTTAAGGGATAGCTGATAACATGGATCATTCCTTTCTGGTCAACAAATGGCAAAACAAGGCCATCTATAAAACAGAGTACCTGCTCCAAGCCCCTGGCACTGCAGATGTGCCCACTATGCCTCAGTTTGCAGACCCAGTAAGTTACAGCGTGGTCATAGCAGGTGACAGAGGGCCATAATGAACCTGCTCTAGAGAGCATGAGTGGAGCTCTGCGAAGTGATGCCTATGAACTATATCCAGGAGACAGAGCAGACACAGAGTGTACCTGGTCCCAGCAGCAGCAGAGTACCCGGGTCTGTGGAAAGGTATGGTGCCACCTTTTACAA